GAAATGGGTTTTACATTATGTAAGCACAATAAAAATAAATAGATATATGTAGAAAATATATAGAAAAATATGCAAGCAAATATCGATAAAGTATAATAATAATAAAAAAATAGGCATTCGTTGCGTACACTGTAAAATGTACCTAATACATAAGTTCATGACATTTAAATATGGTTATAATATTGACAATTGATTACGAAAACTATTTTTTGAAACGTGTTGAAATCAATGTGTGCAGAGTAAATATAGAATGACTGTATTAGTTGTGGTCCTAAAATAAAATTAGTTGTTATATAAAATAACGCACTATAGTATGTTTTGCCCTTGCCATATTATTATATCTCATTTGGTTCTAAAAAATACAGATTGAAGATTATACTGCTAATATGAAATTTTTTTATGTGAAAACTTGCAGTATTTGAATGAATACCTGTTGTTTGTTAAATTTTGGATGGAGCTGTTGTAAAGATGCCAGGAAGTGAAGAAGTAAACAAGATGACAAGACAAATATGTCGTTTAAAGTTGCTAAACCAAAACCGTTTTGAACCTTAATAAAACATACGTTTCTCTGATTGAAGTCGATAAAAAGTCTAAAATTAATTAGGTTTGTTTATTTTAAGTTTTAATTTTTTAATTGTTTTATAGTATTGTCTGCTTATATTAATGTACAACGATATATCAAATAAAACATTGAACAATTTTTAGTTTATATAGTGCTATACCTGAAGACCAAAAGCAAAATTAATTAGTTATAAATTACATATAGTATTATATTCTAGGTATATCTAATCACCATTAAACATTTCAAAAACTGTTGCTAACAGTTTGAATTACGAAAATATTTTTTAAAAAAATGTAACCTATGAATAAATTATTTGAAGTTTTACGATTAGGTATGCTTTGATATTTTATTTAATATGATTTATATAATATTAGCTATTAAAAAATTGTATCATAATCTTCATTATTTACGAAAAATGGTTAAATATTTAGCTGTACATTCATTGCACGAGTAATTTTAAATAATATGAGACTGTAATTGTTTAATATAATCCAATTCTTTAGTTACCAAAGTAGCTGAAGTAAGACGTTACACCCCAACACAATGTCAATATTATCTTGTTTGGTTTTTTTTTTAATAACAATGAAACAATATAAAATAATATGATTTATAATGTACGTAAATATGGATTGATAATAATTTAGTCAAGCAAAACACTTCAACATGATATTTAGTATTGGTAACTCATATTATATTATTATGATTGATAGAATAAATCGTATAATTGTATAATCGTTTAATTCAAAGCTTAGATATATCATCATTCATTATATTACAATAAATATTATAGGGATTGAAATTTTGAAACTTTAATCCATCGATAAGCCTTATCAGAGTCACTCTCTATCTCTCTCTCTCGCCTTGCACTCATACTTACCCATATTACTATTACTATTAAATTAATAACAAACCAAATTATATCCGTGTGGTATAAAATTATACGATCATAATATTAGGTATTTTTTTTATATGTATTATTTAGTTTAATTTAAATAAGATAAATTGTGGGGTGGTCACGTCTGTCATAGTCAGGACCCTCTCGCTATTGCTCGTGGTAATGGTAGAGAATCCAGAAGGAAAAATACTTGAATACTTCTTGGACTTCGCCGTTTAAGATGGGGAGATGTGGCAAGGAGAGATGGAGAATACTAAATGGAGGTCAGACTGGCAAGCAAGAGCAGTTGATAGAGATAATTGGAAGATTGGCTGTGTAACGGGAAGTCCCAGTGGCCGGTAAGTCCCCAGAACAAGAAGAAAGATGAACACAGTTTGAATATTATCCGTAGCCGTGAAATGCAATGCTTTCTTATATCTATGTATTTACAGGTATAAAAATACAACTGTAATATTATATTATAATGTATCTAATGTTAAAGCAAGACTTCATCGATAAGTAATAACGTCTTACACAATAAGCCAGTTTGAAAGACACCACGAGGGAAACCGAGACAGAGATGGTTGGACAGCTTGGAGAAATATTTAATAAGAATGATCAAGATTAGAGAGGACTCAGAGGAAAAAAGTCGTTGGAATGAACTGATAGAAACTGTGAAACCCCCACAAATCGTGTAAAGTGAAAACTAATTAATATAATATATTAAGCTTAGTAGTTAAATCGATTGAATTGTTGAATAATTTTAAATCCAAATGTTGGAGCTTCACAATAATATATTATAATAATTGAGAGTAATTACAATAACTATTTGTTGAAATATACAGAGTGATTCTTTTATCAGTCGGTATCTACTAATTTTTTCAATCGGGTTTTACGATTTTCAAATGTATGACACTTTTAGAAGACGTTTAATATTTTAATATTGTCTCTAATCAAAATATGTTAAAATATGTTTTAAATTTAAAATTTGTTACAAAATATTTGAATGATGACGTATACATAGCAAATATTAAATTATTGATTATTATTATTATTAGGTAATTGGTTGGGAATAGATAAGTGAGACGTGGTGATGGGACACCCCCCACACTTCAACTTTTGTTTCGCGAACTGCACATTTAAAAATTCTTATTGACGAAAAAAAAAAAAAGAAGTTCTATGATATTTGGTAATTTTTGATCGGACTCTTTGAAGCCAAATTAATTGGCTAATTATTTAAATCAAAATATATTTTCTTTAAACTCATTTTTTTATAACGGAATACTTTCGAGTGAAAATACCTTCGAATTTTTAGTACCTAATAATCATCCAAAATGCTACTTGCCGATGTTAACTTGTCCATCTGTCAACCTAGAAACAACCAAGTCTATCATTCAGCTGATAACATAGAAGTCCTCCACTCCCCAGTGGATGTACAATTTGTATCGATATTTACAATAAATATTCGGAGGTGAAATATCGCCAGCGAATATGTTGACCGGGACATAGTGCCCAAAAAACCAGGACGGATTTGCAACCTTAACCTAGTTGCCTAGCTTCCCATTCATTTTTTATCTTTTCACTAGTTATACCGTAGTGGCCGACGTGCAGCCATAGATTTTACCTCCATACGAGTTAATTTTAGGTGTGGTTATAATATAATGTTGACTCTAGGTGTGTGTCCAGACGTGCCGTTTTTATGTCCCAGAAGTATATTTTTTTTACGCATTGCATAATTTATATTACCTTTCTGCGGTACCTCCAGTTTCGTCGTTTTCGATCAGAAAAACAATGTAATTACCTAAAACTTAAAATTACCCAGTGAATAGTAAGGATTTCGATATTATAAATAATTAAGAACTAACATTAAAAATAAGTATTTCTAAAACTATGATATTTGATTATCGTTTAATTTTATTTTTTCGCTGGTAAATATCAGAAACCATACAATACCTGGATATTGGATGTAAACTAGTGGACGTGACGACGAGGGAATCATTCACAGGAATAATATTAATTAAAATGAAGCAATAAAAGTCAGTAATCCAAACAAATAAAGCTAATACGATAAGCTAAATAAATAGAAAACTAAATGACGTTCATAAAACCGTTGAAAGTCGTCTTTTACGTAAGAGCCACACTTGGCACGCTAATCATACCGAATGAATCTTTAATATCGCAAGCTAACAAACACTGAAAATAGTTAAATTATTAAAATAATAAGAAATAGAAAATTAAGCTGATTAATGTTACCAATATGCAAGGTGTAGAATGACCTGTAAAATAACATATTAATTATTTTATAATTATTATACCTATTATAGGTACATTTTAAATCTTATTACATTTTTTTTTAGAAAAATTCAAAATAACTAATATTCAGAAAAATGTTTATGGTAAAAACGTATATTTAGTCAAGTAGAAAATTGTTTAAAATTATTTAGTATAAGTATCAATATTTTTTGGAGTATATACATTTGAAACGTAATACATTTTTTTCGAAATATTCATTTTTGGAATTTTCAGACATAAGTGAACCTGAAATTATTCATTGCTTATATCATTTTCATAATTGTTTCCATACATTTTTATACAACCGGATTTTTTGTTACATCCTGTATAGTGTATTTTGATACTTTTAGTTAGTTTTTAAAATTAAATATTAATCTTAATTTTATATAAAAAAAATAAAAAAATTAATAAGTATAATAATTAAAATGAATAATTATTTATTTAAAAAAAAAATCTAAATATTATTTAAATGTTTAGAGTTAGAACATGTATATTAACCTGTTTAACGAATCAAATATTAATAATCCAGTGTAGTTTAGTAGAAATAAACGAAAACCTCATCAGGATAGAAGTAATATAATAACACCGTCAACGTCAACGTCCAACAATATTGCTCAGTAAACATTTATGTTATGACTCATAACTTATGAGTAACATTTTTTAAAATAAAATTTTATACAAAGTACCATATAAAAAGTAACCGACTAATGCGTCTACGTAAAATATAATGTATAAACTGTTTATAATAAACAAATAAAATTGAGATGTACTTAATATTAAAATTTATTAAAAATCTCGATCGGCTGGTTAGAATGTAGGTGCCGTTGAATATAAGTAAAATGTACCTGTTGAATGCTTTTACGTCAAACATAAAACCTTTTTATAACCAACACACTAGGAAGGAACTAGGAATACATAAAAATAACATCCTTAAACAGTAGTAAATTGCAGTAGACCGATTTCGCTCGGAATCGATTAAGTATTAAAGAAAAGTTGTTTTTGCCCGACAATTATCGTGCACATTCAATTATTTGTTATCCAAATAATGGTTAGTTTATGTAAACAGAACACTTCAATTTCATTTGTTTTGTTGTTTCATTTGTTTGCATTATATCATGATACATTACGATATAGTATTCAGTTCATAGTTAATAGGTCTTATCGGATTCGAGTCATATTTATATTACAACGACGATATCCGAAGAACAATAATCATTGTCATGCCGACTCTTGTCACGCATGCATCGTCAGCATTTTAACGCGAAAATTAAAATGGCTAACATATTAGGTAATTATGCGATGTACAAAATAATTACAAACTTATAATATTTCTGATATAATTTTACATTACCTACTTTATTATTACTTTTTTATTCCTACTTATTGTTTATTTATTTCTTTTTGCTAAACGTCAACCATCGTCAAATAGTATAATAATAAGCAAGTTAATATTTTTCAAAGTACCTAGTGTTTTTAGTTAGGGTTTACATTTAAATTTTTTACATTACACATTAGAGACAACACTTTAAAATATATATTATAATATTATATTATGTAAATTATATTTTAATAATTTAATATAATATTTAATAGACAAATGTAAAGTAAAATACAATATAATAAAACTTATACGTAACCTTCAAAAATAAAATTATATGCATAAATTCAGACTTTGTATTTTGTACAAAATATTTTGTTAACAAGGGTTTTTACATAATTATTTTGGTTAAATTTAAAAATAATATTAAGATAAATATAATTTTTTAGTATAACTTGGCTCAACTGAACCATATTATGTTATGGTATTATAAATAGTATATACAATTAATTTTTTCCTATAAAATATCTTACGTAAAATTTGAATATAATTGTATTATCTAGGATATATTTAAATATATTAAAAAAATATGTCATTAGTTATATTTACTGAACATGAGTGTTTTTTTCTAGCATTATGTGTCATTGCGTTGACGTTAGTATCATCGTCTTTGGCTTCTGCAGACTTTATCGTTTTATATTCTGAAGATGAGAAACAATTAGAAGCGGAATATGGAAGTAATTTCGTTTGTTATATTTTTATGTTTCTAAATATTTAAATTAAAAAAAATTCTGTTTAGATGTTTTAAAATATATAATATATAAACATAATAATTTTATGTGAAGGAGTATAATATCATATTTTATCGTCGTGCATTTTGTATTAATTTTAGCAAGTACATCGTCGAAACATCTGAAACTCAGTTTCTTTGAAGATTGTATCAACAAAGATCCGAGTGTTTGTACCCCAAAAACGGATGGCAATGCAGACTACTTACGCTATTTTACGGAATCGGAAAAAACAGGAATGTAAGCATTTGAAAAATCAGTGAGTCGATGAACGATGTCCTTCAATTCTGCGTCGATTTCGATAACAGTTCCTGGTTCGGTGGCGCCGAAGTTGGTTTACAGGAATGGCCTCTGAATAAACTAAACTGGACAGACAGAGAATATGTGACAAAAGAATCACACAGCCAAGCAGTGAGTATTAGTCTGTTATAAACGATGAATTAAGAAATTTAAAATACTATTATTAAATTCGTTTTTGTCATTAGAATTTGTTTTCTGACTTGTATCATTGTATTTAGAATTACGTTTTTCCTCTTCAGACTAAAAAAAAAACTTTGAACACGTTTGTAGGAAGTTATTTTTTACATATTATCAGTGCGGTGTTTAGGGACGCCCTCGATTTTTTTAAACTCTGTAATTATGATTTAAGAAAGATGACGTTATTAATCAATAAAATGGAAATCGCATTTTCAATTGCATTTTGGCTTAAAAAATAATACGTCAGGAGACATGCCGTATTCATTTCTCTAATGGTTATAATTGATTTAATACATATTTTATTGTACTTTTTGTTTTAGGTGGTCGAGTCATATTTCTTCAACTCTGACGGCTTTTACTTGCACATTAACGATTCGGTCGCCTTGTTCGTAGACATTAATGGCCCCAGACCAGGAAAAATGTGCTTTGCCGCCAAAGTGGTCGCCCCGTACAGAAAAGATAGGAATTTCATGCAATTCCGCGTTTGTAAATTTAGCGATCCCCGGAAAGCTCACGAAAACGCCATTAAAGATTTCCTCGGGTCGCCCCAGTCCATACCCGATCCTTACGTAGTTAAGTACCCGATTTGGTCGACTTGGGCTAGGTATAAGATTGACGTCAACACGACTTCCGTTTTGAGTTACGCCGACGAAATAGTCAAAAACGGATTTGACAGAGGTACGTTCGAGATCGACGACAAGTGGGAAACATGCTACGGCAGTGCAACTTTTGATATAAAGCGATTCAGTAATATCAAAGACACAGTAAATAAACTGAGTAAGTAAATTATTATTGGTATTTAGATATATTATTATGTTAGTTTTAAATTGTTGCCACCGTCATGTTTAATATTATAAATAAACCGTTCGGGTGTTTTTCAACAATATTACTGCATAAACAAAGTTTTTTTACAGTTTTCGTATATGAATATTACATTTATTGTTGTAATAAATGTCATAGGGGGGGGGGGGGGTTAAACAACCAAAACCCCGCCGTGGCTACGCCACTGCTAGGCACTATATAGGATGTCGGTAAGTATTTTAAAATAATTTCAAAAAAAAAAATAATTAATTTCAAAATATTCAATTATAAACGTAAGAATCGATCTTATTTTGTGCTTAATAAGGTTATCATCTTTATTAGGTAGGTAATGGTTAGGTATGATGATAAGTATGTAAATACAATACAGTCACATATTTTTTCCCAAGTGTTTTATTTATTGTTGATGATTAACCGATCTAGTCATCTAGATTGTTATTAATGGTTTGTTTAATACATCATTGTACCTAATAATTAAATTAGTATATTATACGAAATAATATACTATAATAATAGCCTCTATAGTTGATTTTAATTTCTATATTCGGTTATATTATTAAGGAAAGCTTATATATAATAGATTAACTAAGGTTTGGTAATATTATTGTAAACCTTCGTTATTAGTTAACACAAATATTGCATTATTTAGTTTTCAAACGATTACCAATGATTCACTGTGACAAACGTCATACCTATTGATAAGAAGTTGTATAATCGTTTTAGAAAGTTTATTTTGCATGCAATTTGAGTGTGCTATATAATATTATCATCCTTATTTTAGCGTGTCCACTGATATTTTTTTTATTTATTAAGTATAATTTTACTCTGGCTACTGTATAATTTGAAGCACGATATTTGTTTAAAACTGTTGGCAATAATAAATTGCGTATAATAATTAATAGGTGTGGGTGTTGTATTGAATATTGAACGAACTTTCCACGATCAAAATACTTATAAAAAAAAGTTCTATATATTTGATTACATAGTTAAACTCTCAAACATCAAAAGTATCTAAGATTATTATGGGTATGACGTATGAAATTATGTTACTGCAGTATGTGCATTGCACTTCCCATATTTTATTTCATTAGGTATTTATTTATTGATTATTCTTCTTTAAGCTGATAATCCTCATGAATATTAATATAGATGGATGTTAATGATAAAAACTGTCAATTGTTAAAATTGAATATTACATAATATTGTTATAATATGGCTTCAAGACTTCTTTACGGGATGTGTCTGATGAATATCTCTTAAAACGTTTTATGTTATAATTATCTTATAGAATCAAAAGGTTTCAAGACGTCTTTGTGGACACATCCGTTCATAAACAATGATTGTCCTATTCACGAGACGGCCAAAAACAACGGTTACTTTGTCAATAGTACAGCGCACACAGTGAACTCTACGTGGTGGAATGGAAATGCCTCTTATATAGACTTCACAAATCCCGAAGCGGCGGCATGGTGGTCAAACAATTTACGCAATTTACTTGCAACATCTGGTATTGATACACTAAAGTTTGATGCAGGCGAAGCCAGTTGGTACGTATTAATCGTGTACAGTAGAAAATATTAAAAACCTTAAGTGCAAATAGTAAATGGTCGGGAAGTCAGTATGCTGCATAACAATGTTTATAGAGGAATAGTGAGGATATGAAATTGAAGAATAGATAAGATTTATTTAGAAAAATGTATATTTATTTATATATTTTTTTATTTTACAACAACTTTTTCTATTATTAATGGTGTTGGTATTTATGTACGACCATTATAAGCTGTAATGAATAACACCAAAATATACAATTATAAATTAATTTTATTTAACTATCTAATTCAATAAATGAAAAACAATGAAAACTATATATTAAATATATTATTTTCAAAATATTAATTAGCTTGGTGGACTGGTGCATAAACCTCGGCGGGTTGTAGGTTGGAGACCTCTGCTCTAAAGTATCAAAGTTATTCAAACAATTAATACAATATCCTAACCTAACCTAACTTTAATGAAAATAAAATGTTGTCAAAATTTCCAGAAAAATAAACTCAACAAAACGGCTATCTTCCACTGTTTTGAAAATAATAAAATACAATTTTTTTTAAACTTTTTTACCAAAACATTTGATTAAATTAAAATATTTTTAGACTTCGTCTTGTGAGACTTTAAAAAAAAAACACAGAATTATGATATCTCCATTATTTCAGGATATATTGCAATAGGTAAATTCTCATGAGACACCCTGTCGAAAATATAATTATAACGAAATATAATTAATATTATTTAAGAAATATTTTTATACAGTTAATACAGAATTAAAACGTGTTAGGTATTATACTTCTATGCAATATAATATACAAACAATAATCGATTTGTTGCCAACATAAAATATTATATAAATAATTATAATTTTGTTTCTCTTTTCACAGGAGCCATCCACTTCCCGTCTATTACGATAAAGATTTGACATACTACCCCGATAACATTGTAAACGCATACCTCTCAACAATCAAGGCTTTTGGCGATGGTATAGAGTACAGGGCTTCCAGAAGGAGTCAATCATATGGTTGTTTGTTGAGAATGATTGACCGCGAGTCCCGGTGGACTTACGAATTGGGACTGCCAACACTAGTCACATCTCTCATACACTTGAATATGATCGGATATCCGTTCGTATTACCGGACATGATCGGTGGAAACGGTTATAACAACTTACCGCCTTCCAAAGAGATGTACATCAGATGGATGCAAGCCGCTGTGTTCATGCCAGTCGTACAGTTTTCCTACACTCCTTGGGACTTCGACTCACAGGTACATTATACAACTACTGTGTTACACACTAATAATAAATTAAGACAATAAATCATATATATATATATTATTGATATGTTATAGACGTTAGAGTTATGCCGACATTTCATGGCACTCCGCAGCAACTATACCGACACAATTGTGGATTTGATGAAACAAACTGTTGCGTACGGTACCCCAGTGAATCCTCCGGTCTGGTGGATCGATCCCACTAGTACAGATGCACATGCAATCGACAACCGTAAGGAAATGCATTTGATGACTATTGATTATTGTAGACTATAGGCTATAACAATTGATAATATTATACGTTCGACATTATTATTAACGTATTGATATAGTAGTTGGGGTATTCAGTGGCGGCTTAAATAGCTATTTTATGAGGCGGCTGCCTCATGCAAAAGTGGTGGCGGGTATTCCAACGACTTCAGTCTCCAATACCTTAACGGCTAGACTAGTTTATAATTTATACTCGCATTATCGCAGACGACCTGGGTTTAAAATGTGTGAAAATATATAAATGTAAAATGTGAAAAAATTGACGTGTATAGGTACTTATTGAAGGTGGACGATTCATAGAAAAAAGTGCACTCGGTCACTCTGTATATATTGTATAAATAAAAATAAGTATGTACCTAAGTGGAAGTAATCGAATTATAAAGACAGTGTAAGAAACTTGACTTATCGGTAGCTATTGGTCATTTAGGTAGATTATCGTTACATTATATTTATCACTATTATCACCATGTTTTCTAATTTATGATTATAAAAATCATATAATTGAATAATTTTAGGAACGTTATTTATAGGTACTATAAATTGTATAGCATAATTGTAATTCTATCTGTCGACTGTTTAAATCAAACTTTTGACATCGATTACAAAAGGAAAAGTCTTGTAAATCAATATTTTTTTTCGATTTCTGAAACATTTTCAATCGTGTTTAGTAAAACATTTAAAAATTATAAATCGGGTCTAAATTCTACTTCACAAAAAACATTCTTCTCGATTGAAACAATTGATCATAAGACGACATGATGTTAGCTCATCATTAATTTAAAATTCATATTATATTATAAGTACCATTTGGCATTTTCCATTATCCTGTGATGTGCTCCATAATAATATGCTATTTCCTAGACTCCTAGTGTTTACAGTTTTTAATTTTTATTTTTATAATTCCGATTCTATTTGTTTCGTTTTAGTTTAAAATATCAATCAATATTTGATTCTCCAAAAAAATAGTTATTTTTGAAAATTAATTATTTATTTATTTTTTGTGTTTATTTTGTTTATAGAATTTATGTTGGGTGAAAATATTCTGGTAGCTCCAGTTCTCGTCGAAGGTGCAACTTCTCGTCATATTTACTTGCCCAAGGGTATGTGGAGGGACGAGAACCATCCCGCAAGTCCCCTCTTGTCCGGAAGAATATGGTTGATCGATTACCCTGCCAGCCTTGAAGTCCTCCCCTGGTTTACTAGGGTTAGTCCCGAGAATCAACCAGAACCATCCAGTTCGGTTTGCCATATGTCGTCTGCTATTTATATTATCGCTTTAGGTTTAATAGCGTATTTATTCCAATGAAATTCATGATATATCGCTGAGTTCATATAGATACCTATACCTTACTATTAGTGTAATATTATAATATAATTTTTATATAGGTAAATTTTGATTGTACAGCCAGTGGTCCAATAACTTAGCTGGAATTTGATTTAATTTCTCAACTGACGTGATATTAACTATAATTATTACTTTCGATGTTTCACTATACGTTTTATAGTTTATTATTATGGAAATAAAACGTGCCGACTTGTGTGTAAAGTGTAGAAGAAGGCTTTAATGAAAAAATAAGCGTACTTAGTCACTAGTCACTAGTCAGAATAATTTGACTAAGAAGCTCTTGGGATAGATACTACTTAAGAAGCTTATAGAGGGACAGTAAGCTAAAAAGTTAAAATTGTTTGATTGATTATATTTTAGTAAATGGACTGGTATATTTAAGTTTTTGAGGACTGTTTAGATTACATTTGGTTGTGCATAATATTATTATATTAACATTAATTGCTATTCCTATAATACACGGGTATATTAAAATTGTTTCGTAGATACTGAAGAAAACAAAATGAACTATGCGTTATATTCAGACATAGTTTAATAAATTATAACAAATATTTATAACTTACTTAGATAAATTTATAACCTGTTACATTTTTGTTTTTTATAGATAAAGAATTTAAATTTGTATACTTCATAATGATAAAAATATAATGTGTTTTACAATTTTAATCAACAAATGGTTATTTATTTTTTTTGTCCTGGGTTTTTTCTCGTTAAGTAGGTAAATTTCAATTTACAATAACTAGGATGATCTTCTTCTCAATCTTCCCGCCGACTTTCCAAGGTTTGTCATAGAAATGGTGTATTTAAATTTTTTTTTTTAATCAGCTCAATGCCAATAAAATAGTTTAGAGAAAATGTGATAAAAGTTCGACATCACTTGGTTTTCGACTGGGTCGGAAACCAGACTTACCCCATTGAGTGTGGCTGGATACTAAACACTGACTTCAACAAGTATGTGTGATCAAAGTCCATATAGTATGGTGACGAGGGACAGAGAATAATTTTTAAGATGTCAAAGTAAATGCAAGTTACAATTGTGAGGGGTAGGTAGACTATCTGCAATCGAGTCGATTTGGGACAGTGAATACAAAGCACGCACAAAATATCGGATAAAATTCTTGAAACTAGGTAACATAAAATTGGTACGGAAATCGGTCAGGCGATGGTTGACATAGTGGGATCGATCCTTTGCAAAACACGAAGTTGACGGTAATTCACAAAATCCAAAATGGTTGGTTTTGGGCTTACGCTCCAGAAGATGACTGGTCCCAGTGCCGAACTCGGGTAATCGATATCGTAGTGAACATAGTGTGGTGGCCCCAATCGATGTCCAAAGTCACAGGTTTACAATAATATTATACTCCTCCATTTTAGTGTTCCTCTTTTTATTTAAAACTACAATATACTCTTCACAATAAAGTCTATGTCAAAGTCACTACCGAAGAACCAAAAACGTTTAAAAAATATATTTCATGTCAAACTTTCCAGTATCCTGAATTTATTCTTTATTAATTCATCCTTATACTTTCGAGAAATCCTTTAAATTTTTAAGAAAATATGATGTCACCACATTTGTATATTATAATTATAAATAAACTTAGTTATATAGTTTGGTATATAGTTATACATATTATATTATATTACTAGTACAACATCAGAAATTCCACGAGTAGATATCTGTTTTTAATCAATTCTTTCGGGCACGTTAAAATCAGTAAACCACCGATCCAATATTCATATTATGTATTTCTTTATAGAATGTTATACTATATTTCTTGATATAAAAAGAAAAAAATTAATTAACACTAAAATATATTCATATAAATATGATAATTTTAATAACGATGTAGTTATGTATAATATTAATATGTCGGTAAGTATACTTATTTTATTATTGATATATCAATAGCCAATAACCTTAAAATATTTTGAAACCGCAGGAAGTTGACATAAGACAAGGATGAAATGTACAGCGGAAATATTTGTTCATACAAGTTGTATGCATTTAAAAAAAAAAAAACAATAAATAGGTACTTGGTTATTTATCAGTTTATCACTAATATTATCTAACCAGAACAAGATTAAAAGATTATACATTTTATGACATTCATAACCATTACAAATCAAGTACCTACATTAAACTATTTACAATCATTAATGAGACACACTTGACACACTTACTGTACATATTGAATGCACAAATAATAACACTATACAGCTAATGCTCAAATAACTAATTTAAATTCTTAAAAATAAAAATAATTAGCTATACAATATTTTTGAAAAATATTTTTTTGTTACTATTTGTAAAAAAACATTAATTATATTTGCAGATAGGGGGACATCTAGTAAGAAATAATATATTAGTGAATATTTTTTAATATTGTCAAATATGAAGTACTGTATAATCTTTATATACAAAAGACAATAATATTATAAAGTACCTAGCTATAATAATTGTCTGACTGATGTTCGCATATACGTTTATAACAAGTAAATCAAATAATATGTTTACGACTTGTAACTTTAGATTTTTATTTTTAATGGAGATAGTTATACATTTGACATGAAAAATATCTCAAAACTTCTATTAAAAAAGTATAGGTACGATAATACATTTAAGTGAACTGAGCTTCGATGGAAATTTACTGTTAAAAAATACTTTACATTAATCGTTGATTGTGGTGTACAATAAAAAACTGGTATATAAGTAAAGATAAGTTAATGTAAACATAACTATATATTGTTATTTGTCACTCAATATCATAAGTCTTATCTCTTATTTTACTTATGTCAAAATTATAATACTATAACTCTAATATCCAATAACATTGATGCAGAGACTCTCTCCGTGTATAGTACGTCGTTGTACATTGACCAGAGAAATGGCTAAAGTCTTAGGTAATTATTCATTTTACAAAATTAATATCTATACATTTAGTATAACAATTTTATTTTTTTTTTAATGTAAAGCACTTTTTAAAATGTTTATCCTATATTAGCTGGCAATTGCATTACATTTATTTAATATTATGTATTTTATTTTATTTTTTTAACAACGGAGTAAATATTCAAAGGTATTATAAGGTATATAATAAGGGATATATTATACTTTTTTATTTTGGTTTATGTTTATTCACATTTAATTAACAGAGTTCAGCTCATTTTTTGAAATAAATTTGTTTGGATAGGTAACTCAAATAAGTGTTATTGCTGGTAACCTAATTTTACCAAAATATGTATAATATAATATACTGATTTTAAGAAAATTACTTTTTGTAAAATATACAAGAATAAAAAGACATTTGTTCAAAATTATAGATGTTATTTTAGCCTATTATCTATAGGCTATAATATTATAACGTTTTAATAAAATGTATTTCACAAGTGTACTGTTATATTATAACTTGAGTTTTGTTTCCATGTTTAGGATTTTGTGTCATCGCATTGACGTTAGCACCGGTGTCATTAGCTTCTGACAACATCGTTTTATATTCTGAAGACGAGAAACAATTACAAGTGGAGTATGGAAGTAATTAAGTTTACATACAAATACTTAAATTTTTAAATATTTATATCCTGAGCGTTGTGACGAATGTATTGGTATACAATGATATTTTAACATGTTAAGTTTTTGATTTGGATACAAAAAATTTTCTTTTTCGGAATCGTGAAAGATTTTTCGTTATAACACTTTAACGACATAGTTTCACGTTACTGCACCTTGAATGTCCAAATTTAAAAACCCAGCGTCACCACAGAAGGAAAAAAACTGATACAAAAGAACATAAAATTATCTATGATTCGTTTTTCACGAAGAGGAGAAAATTTCAAGTAACAAGCTACGTTTTTAATTCAGTCTTTCATCATATTGTGGAGCAGTAAAAGTAACATAAGAGTAGATTTTTCTGGTAGAAAATCGGATCAATATGGTTCTTTAAAGGGTAAAAATTTAAAAACTTAAATGCTCAGTTCTTTTAAATATAATTGGAAGATAAATGTATGGTACAACGTAAAACCTTTGAACCAGTTTTCGAAAAAAATTGATTTATTTTTTGCATTGTAATTCAAAAATGAATCGTTGTAAAGACGTCTTGACATTTTCACCAAATGTACCTACATATTATTATCATTTCTAGCCATAATATTATGAATTTCAAGTTCATTGATTTTTTTCTGCCAATTATTAAAATTGTTTTCTTATTTTAGTTTGGTTTTCGATGTATGTATAATCAAATTTTTGTTTGTTTCAAAAATATCAAAAAAATTTGTCACAATTTGAATTTATAAAATTATTATTTGAAATGAAATTTTTGCTAACAATTTTTTAACATATTTATTTAAATTAGTTTTATATCTGATCCTCAACCCTCTCACTCTCATTACAGTCATATTATATGTATGACTGACACTTAGTTACATGGTTTGGTTTTCGAATATTTTTCTGCTTTGTATTCTGGCACTTTGTCACTTGTAAGTCATGTGTGACTACCAAAGTCACGTAGAAATTATCATTGTGGCTCCGTCAGTCAGTGTTAACCGATAATCATATTCATATGCATCCCCTGATATAACTAAGCTTATTAATTTCAGAAAATACAACGTCGAAGAATCTGAAGCTAAGCTTTTATGAAGATTGCATCGATAAAGACCTATATGTTTGCACCCCAAAAACAAAGAGCAATGCAGATTACTTACCTTACTTTTCGGAATCAGAAAAACAAGAATGTAAACATTTTGAACAAATAGCTCAATCGATGAATGACGTTTTGCAGTTTTGTGTCGATATGGAAAGCAGTTATTGGTTTGGTGGCGCTGAAACGGGCTTACAGGAATGGCCTCTAAATAAACTTAACTGGACAGACAGATCGTATGTGACAAAAGAGGTGGACCATCAAGCAGTAAGTAATAATAATAATAATTATAATATTGAAAATATCCAAACCAAATTTTTTATGGTATTGTTTAATCTATCGACTGAGTTTTATCTATGATAACATTATTATTTTTCAATGGAAATCCAAATAGAATTCAAAAGATTTTAACTAAAAGCAGATTTGGGAAAATATTCATATGTAGGAAATTGATTTTGATTTTTCGTGATATTTATACGACTTTATTCGACTTTCCCCCTTGGTTACCTCTTTTCAAATCAAATAACTGATCTCTTAATATTTTAGACATAAAATTCTCATCTCCAGTGAATAAAAATCTTATTTTTAAAAATTTAAACTTCAATAGATTTATTGTATTATTTTATAAATTGTTACAATAATTATGGGTCCTTATAAAACTGTCCTTTTTTTTTAGATCTTAGAGTCGTATTTCTTCAATTCTGACGGGTTTTACATACACATTCACGATTCAGTCGCCTTATTTGTAGACATTAACGGCCCAAGACCTGGTTATATGTGTTTTACGGCCAAAGTTGTCGCTCCGTACAGAAAAGTTAGGAATGTCATGCAATTTCGGGTGTGCAAATTTAGCGACCCTCGAAAGGCTCACGAAAACGCCATTAAAGATTTCCTCGGTTCGCCCCAGTCCATACCCGATCCTTACGTTGTGAAGCACCCGATTTGGTCGACTTGGGCCAGGTATAAAAATGACGTCAACACATCTGTAATTTTGAATTACGCTCGGGAAATAGTCGACAGTGGATTCCAGAGAGGTACGTTCGAGATCGATGACAACTGGGAAAACTGTTACGGCAGTGCAGAATTTAACACAACACGATTCGAGGATATTAAAGGGATGATAAACAAATTAAGTGAGTATTTTATTATGTTTATACTACAGGTATGAAAGAACTTGTCCAGACTGTTATATTTTCGTCAGTCGATTCTGCTAAATCCACATGGTCGAAGCCTGGTCACCTGTAGTACTGAATTATTGTTTGAAACCTAATCGATAGGAACGTTTAAAATATGATATAATGCTTATTACTTCTTCCGGGTATAATATAATATAGATACGCATACAAGCCGTTTTACTTTAAATGTTCATAAAATATATATCTAAGATTTGAGTTTTAAAATCAGAAGGCTCATTCATAAATTATACAAATTTTGGTTACTTTGTGATTTATATTATACAAAAATAGGTACACTCATATTTCATTGATTATTAACTCTATGAATAATTATAGTGATTAGTATAATATGTATTAGTACTTAGTAGGTACAATAACCTTAATCCTTTCACTGCAACATATAGCTGAAATATTGCGGTCAACAATGTATAATGTATTTATATATATATTTATGTATATTATATATTGAATTTGATCAAATATTTTAAGCTTCATTATTAGTATAACTAAAAAAAGATAAAGAAATATTTATTAAAATCTTTAACTTAATAACCGTACAAGACTGTCCCATAGAAATATAGTATATTAAATAATCCAATAAAGGTCATTATCTGGGTAGTAGTTAAAAATTAGTTATTTTGTACTTGTTAACTTAATTATTTGCTTAAACTTCTAATTAACTTATGTTTTTTCAGTTAAAATAATTTATGTATATATAGTGAAACCTCTCTGGAACGGACAATATGATAATGTCCCTGAAAAAAAATAGGTATTTCAATGTGCCTGTCTATAACGGGAACTTTTGATGCTACCGTGACTGTCAGGTTTGGCTGTATAATATCTATATAACTGAGGTTGTTGTATCACTGGTGCTGAGCAACAAGAAGGCCCTTTAGGGTGTATTTTAAAAATAATTTTAATTTTTTATTAATGACAACAAAGTTAAGCAGTAACTTTGTGTCATAGTATAAACATATTAATTATAATATATCATAACTTAATAATCTTATAACATTGACTGTATTTAATTTATTGTTTCAACAATGATCTTTTGTTTGTGAATTATACACACTCGAAAAATATTTATTAATGAAATAAACAGCGAGTCTTATCTTCCTGTCATTTTTAGAATCATATGGTTTCAAGACTTCCTTGTGGACACATCCGTTCGTAAATAATGAATGTCCTATTCACGAGACGGCCAAAAAAAAGGGATACTTTGTGAATAGTACATCAGGCACAGTGAACTCCACTTGGTGGAATGGCAATGCCTCTTATATAGACTTCACAAATCCCGAAGCAGCGGCGTGGTGGTCAAATTCTCTACGCGATTTAATCGCAAAATCTGGAATAGATACATTCAAGTTCGATGCGGGAGAAGCCAGTTGGTACGTATACAGACATATAATAAACATTAAATAACTCTGCAGCTCTGATGTACACTATGTGTCTAGTGAGGTCACTGTGATGGAAGTGATACATTTGAATTCAATTGTTTATATCATTGTAGATCTATAATAGATCATTCGATACTATTCAAAATACGCTATTTTATATACATAAACTTTTTTTTTTTAGTTAAATAATAATTTATATGTGAATTTATTAAAAAAAAAAAAAAAATCAAGTAAATAGGTATAGTCTAGTAAATTCCGATAATGTAATATTATAAAGTTGAAATGCTTGACGAAAACTTGCAAATAATTAAATACAGATAAGTATACTTAATTATTCGGTGTTAAATAACAATATTAGTTTACAAGATATTCCATCGTAATATTTTACGTAAAAAAAATATTCATAATTGAATAGCAATATTACACGTTGTATCATCGTACTTATAGGAGCCCTCAACTTCCAGAGTTTTACGATGAAGATTTGACATACTACCCCGATAACATTGTAACCGCATACCTTAAAACTATTAAGGCCTTTGGCAACGGTATAGAATACAGGACATCCAGAAGAAGTCAGGAGTTGGGTTGCTTCTTACGGATGTATGACCGTGAATCTCGGTGGGATTTCCAACTGGGACTTCCGTCGTTAGTAACATCTCTGATACAGTTGAACATGATCGGATATCCGTTCGTGTTGCCGGATATGATCGGCGGAAACGGCTACTTCGACTTACCGCCCTCCAAAGAGATGTACATCAGATGGATGCAAGCCGCCGTGTTCATGCCGGTCGTGCAGTTTTCATATACTCCTTGGGACTTTGACGCACAGGTACCCAATACGACCTAACTGTGCGAAGTTTTTAGGCCTCGTGAACACGCTAACACAATAAACAGAGTAAATCGTTTTATTTCTGACGTCGGTGGTATCTCATAAATTTCAGACATTGGAGCTGTGCCGATATTTCATGGATCTCCGCAACAACTACACAGACACAATAGTGGATTTGATGAAACATACCGTCACACATGGTAGCCCAGTGAATCCTCCGGTGTGGTGGATCGATCCCACCGATTCGGATGCACATGCAATCGACGACCGTAAGGAAATGCATTTCACGTCTGGTTAACTATACTCTTTTCACGATAAGAACGCATCAGATATAAGTAGCGAAACCGGTTTTGCCCGTGTCCACAATGTTCGTTCTTAATCTGAAAAGAGTATAATATAATTTATATTATTGTAAAAATAAGTATGAAAATATGGGCAGGTACATTCGAAAAACATATTTTTATTTATTTATTATGTAAATAAAACTATATATTTTTTTTTTTTGGTGACGTTACATATTTTTAAATCACTTTCGCTAAAATATTTGATAGTATTTTTACGAATCGTTGAACTGTACTTTTTTTAAGTCAGGCAAAAATCAACTGAGATGAGAAAACTGTAAAAACCGATAAAAAGATTTGGACAAGTGTCGTTTTATGTACTTAATGAAATTTCGGCCCAACACTTAAAATCATTTTTGCAATGATTTTTCATTAATTTAAAATTCATACTATATGATACCATTTTTCTGTGATTTGCATAGTCACTTATTGCTTTCTGTTTGCTCATTTTAATTACATTTTATTTTTGATATGATTTGTTTTGTTTCAATTTAAATACCAATCAACACTCAATTTTCTGTATGAAATATTTATTTGTTTACAATGAATTGTTTATTTGTATGTGTTTGTTTTGTTTATAGAATTTATGTTGGGCGAACAAATCCTGGTAGCTCCGGTTCTCGTCGAAGGTGCAACTACCCGTAATATTTACTTACCCACTGGTTTGTGGAGGGATGAGAACCATCCCGGTAATTCACTCCTGTACGGAAGAACTTGGCTGATCGATTACCCTGCCAGCCTTGAAGTCCTTCCGTGGTTCACTAGAGTTAGTCCCGATGACCAACCAGAACCATCCAGTTCGGTTTGCCATATGTCGTCTGCTACTTATATTATCGCTTTAGGTTTAATAGCGTATTTATTAAAATGCAATTCATGATAAATCGTTGAGTTCATATAGATACATATACCTTACTATAAATGTAATATTATAATATAATTTGTATATAGGTATATTTTGATGTACAGCCAGTGGCCCAATAACTTAGCTTTAATTTGATTTAATTTACTAATTATAATTATTACTTTCGATGTCACTATACGTTTTATAGTTTATTATTATTGAAATAAAACTTGCCGAATTGTGTGTAGAGTGTAGAACAAGGCTTTAATGAGAAAATAAGCGTACCTAGTCACTACTAGTCAATAGTCAGAATAATTTGACTAAGAAGCTCTTGGGATAGATACTACTTAAGAAGCTTTATAGAGTGACAGTAAGCTAAAAAGTTAAAATTGTTTGATTGATTATATTTTAGTAAATGGACTGGTATATTTAAGTTTTCAGGACTGTTTAGATTGCATTTTTTTTTGTATTATATTTTTATATTATCATTAATTGCTTTTCCTATAATACACGTTTATATTAAAATTGTTTCGTAGATACTGAAGAAAATAATGAACTATGCCTTTTAATTCAGGCATAGTTTAATAAATTATAACAAATATTTATAACTTTCTTAGATCAATTTATAATCTGTTGTATTTTTGTGTTTTATAGATAAATAATTTAAATTGTTATACTTCATAATGATAAAAATATAATGGGTGGTTATGCAATTTTTTTTGTCCTGGGTTTTTACTCGTTAGGTAGGTAAATTTCAATTTACAGGAACTAGGATGATCTTCTTATCAATCTGCCCGCCGACTTTCCTAGGTTTGTCATAGAAATGGTGTATTAAAAAATTTTTTTTAATCAGCTCAATGCCAATATAATAGTTTACAGAAAATGTGATAAAAGAACGACAGCACTTGGTTTTCGACTGGGTCGGAAACCATACTTACCCCATTGAGTGTGGCCGGATACTAAACACTGACTTCAACAAGTATGGGTGATCAAAGTTCATACAGTATGGTGACGAGAGACAGAGAATAATTTTTAAGATGTAAAAGTAAAATGCAAGTTACAATTGTGAGGGGAAGGTAGACTATCCGCAATCGAGTCGATTTGAGACAATGACTACGAGACTGTAAGAAATATCGGACAAAATTCTTGAAACTAGGTAACATAAAAGTGGTACGGAAATCTTTCAGGTGATGGTTGACATAGATCCTGGGGACCGATCCTTTGCAAAACACGAAGTTGACGGTCATTCACAAAACGGAAAATGGTTGCTGTCGGGCTTAGGCTCCAGAAGATGACTGGTCCCAGTGCCGAAGTCGGGTAATCGATATTGTAGTGAACGTAGTGTGGTGGCCTCAATCGACGTCCAAAGTCATAGGTTTACAAAATTATTATACTCCTCCTCCTCCATTTTAGTGTTCCTCTTTTTATTTAAAACTATAATATACTCTTCACAATGAACTCCATATTATGTGAAAACCATGACCGAAGAAGCAAAGACGATTAAATATATATTTCATGGCAAACTTGCTAGCATTCAAAATGTAGGTATTCGTTATTCCATCTTAATACTTTTGAGAAATCCCTGTTGAAGGTTTAAGAAAATAGTATATTGTCATCACCACATTTGTATAAAATTATAATTATTATATAGTTATATATATAATTACGAGTAAAATATATATTAGTGAATATTTTTTAATATTGTCATCTAGAAGTACCGTATATAATCTATATATATATATAATACAATAATATTTTAAAGTAGGTAGATATTGCCTGACTGATGTTCGCGTATATGTTTAACAACAAAAACCATTTGTAAACTACTTGTAAAAATGGCTATGTAAAAAAAATATAAGATCTTTAAGCACTATAAAGATGTGATATCATGAATAAATGCTAAGTATATGTATTGAATATAAGTATTCTTATTTTATTTAAATCATTTATTTACTTGGAGAGGAATTATTTCTTAAAAGAAACAAAGTGTGTTGAACAAAATAATTATGGCGAAGGATTATTAAAATATAACTTCTTATCAATATTTATATACTATTCTAAATAATTCCTAGCCAAGTAATTAAATTATTGAAACAAAATAAGCTTACTTAAATTCAATATACTTAGCATTTATTCATGATATCGCATCTTTATAGCGCTTAAAAGCTTATATTTTTTTTTACTTAGACATTTTTACACGTACTTCACGAAGGGGTTTGATTGTGATTTGGTTTTAGATGTTGATCGTTATTAAGTATTGAGTATTTACTGAATAATCTATAAGAACGGTAATATTGTTGGTTTTATTGGCAACGCTGATGCGAAGATGACTACGACGACGACGACGGCTACCGTGATTCTGAATTTAATATAAATTTCCATTAAAAGTTCGCAATTTTTCATTTATAAGTTAATTTTTAAAAGTACGATTTTAATGATTTTTTAAAAAGCACGTTCTACACAATATTTTTGACGTTTTGAAGTTTACTAGGTAGGAGTTAATTGATGCATTAGAAAATTAGTTATGTCGTATAACAAATTGTCCTGTATTTTACACAGTTTAAATAGGCTATAGGAAACTCCTATAGAGATTATATATATATATATTCAACATATTTAAACCACAACGAGCGCTAGTGATTCGGTGGTCTCAGCTGTTTCAAATAGTTGGTTCACCAGTCATCATAAAGCACTATTCGTTATAGGTATTCCGATGTTTAACCTGTATGATATCTTAAATAGTGTATGACACTCATATCATAAGTCTTATCTCCTATCCTACTTATGTCAACATTATAATACTATAACGCTAATATTCAATAGCATTGATGCAAAGACGCTCTCCATGTATTATAGTACGTCGTTGTGCATTTACCAGATAAATGGCTAAAATCTTAGGTAATTATTCATTTTACAAAACTAATTTTTATAAATTTACTATAAAAATTTCATTTTATATGAACGTGAAGCACTCTTTAAAATATATTAAGCTAGCTGATCAAAAATACCAACTCTACATGCTTAAAAATGTGTGTTAAACTCGTCATTATAGTGATATTCAAAACTTCCCGAGACGAATTCTTGTGGATTTATACCAACCATCTACATTAAAGATTTTTCACTAATGAACCGTTTTACTATAGTTAAACTAAGGTTAAACCGTGGAATTCGGCAGGTAAAACTATGATTCTAAAATGGGCCCTAAGTCATAACAGTGATTAGAGTGGTTAGTAATCGCACTAATTTTGATGGTTTTGAACAAAACATTTGAAATACAATTTTAAAATAGTTATATTCAATCATAGTAACTATAGCTAGGTTTTTACTTTGGTTTATGTTTATTAAAATTTAACTCCAGGAGTTCAGCTTTTTTTTTGAAAATAATTTGTATTCCGGATGACTCAAATAATTCTTATTGCACTTAACCTAATTTTACCAAAATATGTATAATATAATATACTGATTTTAAGAAAATTACTTTTTGTAAAATATACAAGAATAAAAAGACATTGGTTCAAAATTATAGATGTTATTTTAGCCTATTATCTATAGGCTATAATATTATAACGTTTTAATAAAATGTATTTCACAAGTGTACCGTTATATTATAACTTGAGTTTTGTTTCCATGTTTAGGATTTTGTGTCATCGCATTGACGTTAGCACCTGTGTCATTGGCTTCAGACAATATCGTTTTATATTCTGAAGATGAGAAACAATTAAAAGTGGAGTATGGAAGTAATATTAAGTTTATATACAAATACTTAACATTTAAAATATTTATAATTATCTGAGGGCTGTGGCCTGTGATGAATGTATTGGTATTACAGTGATGGCTCAAAACTTGTTTTTTTGGCTGGATACAATAATTTATCTTTTTTATAATTGTAAGAGATTTTTCGTTACACTGTAAGATATAGTTTAGCGTTACTGTACCTAGGTCGCCACAAGCAACCATTGAATGATAATATAATACCTTACGTTAACATAGCAGTAAAAAAAAAAAAAAAACGGATCCAAAATAACATAATATTATTGTTGTTTTTCCATGAAGAGGAGACAATTTCAATAACTCAATAACACTCTACGTTTATTAATTTAGTCTGTTATCACATTGTGGAGCAGTAAAAGTAACTCAATCTTTTACTCTTTAAGAGTAGATTTTTCTCGTAGAAAATTGGTTCTTTAGGAGGTCAAAATTAAAAACAAATTAAATGCTCAGTTCTTTTAAAAATAATTGGAAAATAAATGTATGGTAAAACGTGAAACCACTAAAACAGTTTTCAAAATTAATCGTTGTAAAGACTTGACATTTTCACCAAATGTACCTACATATTATTGTTATCATTTTCTAGCCATTATATTATGAATTTTAAGTTAATTGATTTTTTTCTGGTAATTATTAAAATTGTTTTCAATGTATATATGACAAAATGTTTTTTTTTAATAACAATGACTGACAATTGAATAGGTTTAATTTGTTCCAAATCTAGTTTAAAAGTATCAAAAACACTTGTCACAATTTGATTTTATATAACATGTTTAAAGTGAAAATTTTGTTCCCGATTTTTTGAAGTATTTATTGAAACGAGTTTTATATCTAATACTTAACAATATCACTGCCATGCCAGTCATATTAAATGACTGATACTTAGTTACCCTTTTAGGTTTTCGTTTGGTTTTCAAATATTTTTCTGGTTTATTATCATTGTGGCTCCGTCAGTCAGTATTAACCGATAATCATATTCATATGAATCCCCTGATATGACTAAGCTTATGAATTTCAGAAAGTACAACATCGAAGAATCTGAAGCTAAGCTTTTATGAAGATTGCATCGATAAAGATCCAAGTGTTTGCACCCCAAAAACAAAGGGCAATGCAGACTACTTACCTTACTTTTCGGAATCAGAAAAACAAGAATGTAAACATTTTGAACAAATAGCTCAATCGATGAATGATGTCTTGCAGTTTTGTGTCGATATAGAAGGAAGTTATTGGTTTGGTGGCGCTGAAACGGGTTTACAGGAATGGCCTCTAAATAAACTTAACTGGACAGACAGATCGTATGTGACAAAAGAGGTGGACCATCAAGCAGTAAGTAATAATTATTATTATTATGCTATTGAAAATATCCAAACCAAATTTGCTATGGTATTGTTTAATATATAAACCGAGTTTTATCCATGATAACATTATTATTTTTCAATGGAAATCCAAATAGACTTTAAAATATTTTAACTAAAAGCAGATTTGGGAAAATGTTCATATGTAGGAAATTGATTTTGATTTTTCGTGATATTTATACGACTTTTCCTTTTGGTTATCTCATTTTAAATCGAATAACCGATCTCTTAATATTTTAGACATAATAAGACTCACGTCTTCAGCGATTGAAAATCTTATATTGGAAAACTCAGTGTTGGGTAAGTTACTTTTAAAAAGTAATTAAATTACTTTACTCGTTAATAAGAGATAAATGTAATTAAGTTACTTTACTCGTTAATAAGAGATAAATGTAATTAAGTTACTTTACTCGTTAATAAGAGATAAATGTAATTAAGTTTCTTTATTCGTTATTCAAATAACATTTTAATGAAATTACTTTACTTTTTAAATAGAAAAGTAACTCATTACTTTCTCGTTACAAAAATAAAATTTTTTTTTTTAATTTCTGCAGGCAAATTGAACAAGCAAATTCTTTATAAAACCTGTATAATTAATAGGATCATATAACATTTAGTCTTCCACACAAGATTTATTCATAAGAAACCTATTTAAAGGAAACAAATCAAATAATACATTTAATTAACTGTTCTCGTGATTTAAGGTGCAATTAGACATTTAAAATGTCAAAACCATTGAAAACTGAATTGTGCTGAGTTGAAATTAAATATATTATATACATATTAAATTGGTAAACATAATAATACCTGCATTATACATATATTTTTTTTCAATTCACAATAGGTATATATAGAATTACTTTTCAAAAGTAATTTCCATTAAATTTTCGTTACTTGGAAATAATTCTAATGATATTACGTAACGCGTTGCAAACATTTGCTTGCGTTACTTTCGTTACGTTACTACCCAACACTGGCAAATCTAGAACTTGAATAGATTGATTGTATTATTTTATAAATTGTTACAATAATTATGTATTGACCTTATATAAAACTTTACTTTTCTTTTAGATCGTCGAGTCGTATTTCTTCAATTCTGACGGGTTTTACATACACATTAACGATTCGGTCGCCTTATTTGTAGACATTAACGGCCCCAGACCCGGATATATGTGTTTTACGGCCAAAGTTGTCGCTCCGTACAGAAAAGTTAGGAATGTCATGCAATTTCGGGTGTGCAAATTTAGCGATCCCCGAAAAGCCCACGAAAACGCCATTAAAGATTTCCTCGGTTCGCCCAAGTCCATACCCGATCCTTACGTAGTGAAGCACCCGATTTGGTCGACTTGGGCCAGGTATAAAAATGACGTCAACACATCTGTAATTTTGAATTACGCTCGGGAAATAGTCGACAACGGATTCCAGAGAGGTACTTTCGAGATCGACGGCAACTGGGAAAACTGTTACGGCAGTGCAGAGTTTAACACTACACGATTCGAGGATATTAAAGGGATGATAAACAAATTAAGTGAGCATACTATTATGTTTATACTACAGGTATGAAAGAACTTGTCCTGACTGTTATATCTTATATCTTCGTCAATAGATTCTGTTGGACATAGGCGCGTCCCCAATGGGGAGGGGGGGGGGGGCTTGAAGGGGCTTTCGCCACCACCATAAAAATTTTTAACGTACAAAATTACTCTCAATGTCAACAAATTAATAATGATCAACATTTTAATATACCGTTATACCTAAGTAGAAAAACTAGTTACCAAAGTTAATAATGATTATCTATAGATAACCATTACTGTTTCAATAAAGATAATAAGTAATTATACTTTATTATATTAGCAACACTAAAAATTAAACATTAAAGGTGAATAACTATACTTTGTTATGTAAACATATTTGTAATGTAGTCGCATTAAAAGAACAATTAAGTCAGCCAATTGACTTAAGTTCGCCCAACCTATTGAAATTAAATACGCGTAGGGTAATTATTGATTTAAAAATAGATTCACCCGCCCTAGAAAACTGTCTAGAGACGCCCCTGGCTAGACCTACACGGTCGAAGCCGTGTTACCTGTAGTACTGAAATATTCTTAATATATTATTATAATATAATTTGAAACATCGATACCTAGGTACGTTTAAAATATGACTTAATGCTTTTCTTCTTCTGAGTATAATATAATATAGATAGGCATTACAATCCGTTCTACTTTAAATATATATCTAAGGCATGCGTTTTATAATCATAAGACTCATTCATAAATCTGCGTATTATAATACGGATATTATGGCTATTTTAGTTATTTTGTAGTTTATATACACAATACGCTCATATTATATTGAATAATTAACTCCATGAATAATAATTATAGTGATTAGTATATTATGTATTATAGTAGGTAGGTAATAACCTTAATCCTTTCACTACTAACTATAACTGAAATATTGCTGTCAACAATGTATAATATATTTATATATATATTATTTATGTATATTATATATCGAATTTGATCAAATATTTCAAACTTAAAAGTTACAATATTAGTATATTTAAAAAAAGATAAATAAATATTTATCAAAATTGTTAACTTAATAACCGTGTAAGACTACCCTATATAAGTATAGTAAATATAAAGAATCCAAAGATTGTCATTAACTGGATAGTAAAAAATCAGTTTTTTTTGTACTTGTTAACTTAATTATTTGTTTAAACTTGTAATTAACTTAAGTTTTTTTTCTGTTAATTAAAAAAAAATAGTTCAAGTTAAAATAATTTATGTATATACAGTGAAACCTCTCTGGAACGGACAATATTATAATAATGTCCCTGAAAAAAATAGGTATTTCAATGTGCCTGTCTATAATGGGAACTTTTGATGATCCCGTGACTGTCAGTTTTCACTGTATAACATCTATCTAACTGCGTTTAGTTATGCTGAGCAGTGAGCCACAAGAATGCACTTTAGGATGTATATTAAAATTAATGTTTATTTTTTATTCATGACAACTCTAAGTTACTCAGTCACTTTGTGTGACCCAGGTACAGTGGTGCCGAACTACTTTTTAGTAGGTGGTGCAAACACAAATTTTAAACAACCACCCACCCCTAAATAGACACTCATACAAATATTATTTCCAAAGTCAACTTTTCCAATAAAACTTTAGTAAAATATTGTTTTATACATGCATCGATACATCTATATATCGCATAATAATTTTTATTATAATACGTGTATAATATGTAGATAATATATAATTAATTATTATATTTTAAATTTCAACCAATAACTTTTTTGCTTAGTACTAAACTACATTTTGCAAATACTTCAACCACTTCATCATTATCTATGTGGACATCTTACTCACATGATATTTTTAATAATGACTCAACTACTCAAGACGATCTTGTTTCATAGTGCTGTGATACCTGCATGTGTTGTCTTCGTCTTACAACTTACAAGTGAATAAAATAGCAAATTATCGCTCATCAAAGCACGTGTAGCTCTGTTAATTTAAAAATTAGAGTAAATTAACTTCTTATAAAATCTAAAGGTAAGATTATTATCTAGACAAACTCATAGGTTTTTTTTTAATATTTTAATTTTTAAGCTAGTTATGAGTAATTTAAGATCTATAAACAATTTACTTTTATTTGGTAATGTACAAGAAATACGAAGGGCCATAAATAATGTAGGGAACACACAATAGTCAATACGACATCAGTTGTAGTTGATAACAAGGAATCAGCAATTAGCAGTCATTCATATTTTCCACCTATTTATGAACATGTATGATAAATGGTCGTAAAGAATTCATTTTTTATTGCCTATTGGTATATATTATTATCAAAATAAAATAATTTTCATCATCCGTTATCGAAAAAACGGTACTTTGGTCTCGATCCGGTGATTAAAAAAAAAAAAATTATAAACTAAGAATGAACGTAAATAGTCCAGGCCTTGAAACCGATTTTAGAAACCGATATAAATCGTAAAAAACTGAAACCTAATACAAAATCGGAAAATGTATATTTTCCCCTTATTGCATTTATGCTTCAACTAATTTAGAGAACACTTTTATTTTAATATTAGCACTTCATTTATTCCTAATAAAAAAGTCAACCTTTAAAATCAAATAAAACAAATTATAATTTTGGATTTTAGCCTTTTTTTTTTCTAAATTTTATCTACTTATGACAATATATTAAAATACATTACATATATATATATATATATAGATAGAAATGTAAACGATATTGTTATAGTTTGTTATAACCTCTAGCGACGTCACCGCTTTGAGGACTCAGAATTTGGCGCCCCGGGTAAATTGCTCACCGTCGCCCCCCCCCCCTAAATACATCCAGTGGCCAGTACCCACCCACCAATTGCAGGTGGTGCAAATGGACCACCTTAAGTACGTTTTCGTAAACATGTTATTAATTATAATGGCACATAACTTAATATTCTTATAACGTTGACTGAACTCAATTTATTGTTTCATAAAGTTCCAAAAATAATCTATTGTTTGGGAATTATACACGCTCGACAAATATTTATTAATAAAATAAACAGTGAGTCTTAAGTTAATATCGTTTTTAGAATCATATGGTTTCAAGACCTCCTTGTGGATGCATCCGTTCATAAATAATGAATGCCCTATTCACGAGACGGCCAAAAATAAGGGATACTTTGTGAATAGTACATCGGGCACAGTGAACTCCACGTGGTGGAATGGCAATGCCTCTTTTATAGACTTCACAAATCCCGAAGCTGCTGAGTGGTGGTCAAATTCTCTACGCGATTTAATCGCAAAATCTGGAATAGATACATTCAAGTTCGATGCGGGAGAAGCCAGCTGGTACGTATACAGACATACAATAAACATTTTAAAAATTGGGCAGATGGGTTCAGCTCTGCTGTTCAGTACGTGCCTAAAGAGGTCACTGTGATGGAAGTGTTAAATTTGAATTTAATTGTAATATTATATCATTGTATAGACTATAGAGTATACTAAAAACATTCCTTTCGTCTGTCATCGTATTATATTACTGAGTATATTTTTTGATATTATAGATATTATTTAATTAAATTTATTTAACTATTAGACGTTCATTGTAAATTGTAAACCATTCGACTGAATCAATTGTTGCCGAATGTATTTAGTTTGAAAACTACGTTGTGTGTATAAAATATAATAATATATTTTCAGAGTTTCAATTACATAAACATTTCACAAAGTTGTTTGACCCAGTGAAACATTTTTATCGATATTTATAAAAAAAAAATCTAAAAAAAAAATCAAATTGAATATAGGAAATTATATAATAAATATTTGGTAAAAATTTAATTTTATATATTATTATAATTATTATTCGTTTTTGAATTACCACAAAATAAGAATATCATTCTATGATACATAGTTACCTATTTATTGGTTAAATCCAATTCCATACATATAGAAACTTTTTATATTACATTTAGATACAAGTATCTTTTTTGACACTAATTAAAAAAAATATAAACTAGTAAAAAATGTGAACTATAGCTAGTAAATATAAAATAAATAAAAAACAGTTGATGTGCAGCTAAAAAATGTGTACTAAAAAATGTGTACTCCATGGATTTTACCATCGGTGGAGTTACAAGTGTTTCACATCAAAAGGTCGTAACAATGGAATTTGCATTTCTTATCATTTTTTTTCGGTGGTATTTATGTTATAATATGTCTTACGGTAGAAAAGGGAATTATACAATTTATGATTTGCCAGGTAAATGAATCGTTAATAATTTGAAGGTGAATTTAGATAAAAAGAATCAAGTAAGTACAATGTTGTAAATTACGATAACATAATAATATAAAATTGAAATGCGTTACTAAAACTTGAAAATACATAAATACAGATAACTATATGGTGTTAATTATTAACAATATTAGTTTACCGAAAATATTCCATCGTAATATATTCTAAATAAAAAAAAATTCACAATTTTGAATAATAATATTATCCGTTGTATCGTCGTACTTGTAGGAGCCCTCAACTTCCGGAATTTTACGATAAGGATTTGACATACTACCCCGATAACATTGTAACCGCATACCTTAAAACTATTAAGGCCTTTGGCAACGGTATAGAATACAGGACATCCAGAAGGAGTCAGGAATTGGGCTGCTTGGTACGGATGTATGGCCGTGAATCTCGGTGGGATTTCCAACTGGGACTTCCGTCGTTAGTAACATCTCTGATACAGTTGAACATGATCGGATATCCGTTCGTGTTGCCGGATATGATCGGCGGAAACGGTTACTTCGACTTACCGCCCTCCAAAGAAATGTACATCAGATGGATGCAGGCCGCCGTCTTCATGCCAGTCGTGCAGTTTTCATATCCTCCTTGGGACTTTGACGCACAGGTACCCAATACGAACGAAATGTGAGAAATTTTTAGGCCTCGTAACATGATAAACAGAGTAAATCGTTTTATTTCTGACGTCGGCGGTATCTCATACGTTTCAGACATTGGAGCTGTGCCGATATTTCATGGATCTCCGCAATAACTACACAGACACAATAGTGGATTTGATGAAACATACCGTCGCACATGGTAGCCCAGTGAACCCTCCGGTGTGGTGGATCGACCCCACAGATTCAAAAGCACATGCAATCGACGACCGTAAGGAAATGCATTTCACGTTTTGTTAACTATACTCTTTTCACGATAAGAACGCATCAGATTTAAGCAGCGAAACCGGTTTTTGCCCGTGGCCGCCCGGTTCGTTCTCAATCTGAAAAGACTATAATATAATTTATATTATTGTAAAAATAAGTATTTAAATATGGTCAGGTACATTCGAAAAACATATTTTTATTTATTTATTATGTAAATAAAACTATTTTTTTTTTTTTTTTTTAGTGGTGTTACATATTTTTAAATCACTTTCGCTAAAATATTTGATAGTATTTTTACGAATCGTTGAACTGTACTTTTTTTAAGTTAGTCAAAACCCAACTGAGATGAGAAAACTGTAAAACCGATAAAAAGATTTTTACAAGCGTGGTTTTAAGTACTTAATGAAATTTCGGACCAACACTCAAAATCATTTTTGCAATGATTTTTCATTAATTTAAAATTCATACTTGTAAGGAAAATAACGTGTTGGTATTTATTCAATTTATTATTTCACGTTTATTTCACATACGTAATAATTCGTTATACAGATACAATTTGGTGATGTGTAATACAGTATTTCTTTTGAATTATTATATATTATACTCTTGCGAGTGTACATAAAAAATATTTTAATTACGGGATTTACATAAAATATTGGGGGGGAACAGCATGAACATTTAACTCACGGTTTGTAGAATGGTATGTGGCGGGACGATGGTGGCAATGAGCATCCACGTACAGTGGCGCGATCACGGCGGCACGGTAATAATTGATTATTACTGGCGTGAACGGCTCGACTCTCGGTAAACAACAGTGACTCAGCTCTGCGTGGCGGTATGTTGGTTTTTTCGACTGGTGGTGTGTAGGACAAATTCAACTCTACCGGCAAGAGGTAGGTCAATGACCGGACAGCGGCGGCTATGGCTCGACGTTCTCGACAGACGGTGAGTAGATGGTTGGACGGCGGCAGCTACGGCTCGACATTCACAACTTCGTACAGGTCGGCAGACACGTGGTTTGGACGGCGGCAGCTTCGGCTCGGCGTTCTCAAATAGACGGTGGCGACGAGTTACGGGTACAGCACAGTGGTCGGAAGGCGGCACAGGAGTCGGTTGACCTTCTCTGACGGGCGGCGATGAACAACTGATCGGACGACGGCGGCGACGGCTCGGCGTTCTCGACACGTGATGGTCGGTAGCGTAGGGAGTGCCGGGAAAGACTGTACAATGTCCGTTATCGGCGGTCAAAAAGGACCGTCCGGCTCATTGAGTCTAGTGGGCAGGAATTGCTGTAATAGAGTTTCGAAATTAGCATCCGTTCTCGGCGGTAACAAATACCGTCCGGCTTGCTATTCTCGCTTCTCTCAGCTGGAGAACTGTGTGTGTACGGCGGCCAGCGGCCTGTATTTATGCCATTCGAGGCTCGCTGGTCCCGTCTCGAATGTTATCTGACACCTTGCGTGATTCGAAACTGCAGGTTATTGTTCAGAGTGTTTGGAGATTACCAGATTATGGTGAAAATAACGCTGATTTTGAATATGTTCGTAACGTTTTGATAGCTCTATTGGTTCCCACGGAAAACTCAGGTTTTCCGTGGGCGGCATGCGTTGTTTAATCATTGCGCGGCGGAGCGCTATCTGTGGTTTGCGGTTTGCGGTTGGGCGGTCGATGTTTCTACGCGGCGGGCGATGTTTGACCGTGGGTAATGATCACAACGAGAGTGCGCCACGTTAATGGCCACACCGTTTTGTCTCATTACATTGTCCCCTTTTTTATTTATTATTTTTTTTTTTGAAGATTTTGGAGTGAGAAAAAAAAATAAAAATAAAAACTTTAAAATTTTTGACGCTGTGTGTTTGTGGTGTAGTGGATTATTAGTTTGCTGTTGTTATGGTTGATATTGTTGTTTCATACCCTTTATCCTTTGATTCTTCTCCTTGTAGATCAGTCTTCGCAGGCGAGTCTTGGAAACATTTTCAAAGTCCTTCAAGTAGGCTCCGACCTTTAGTATACTCTTTCTGATCTCTACCGGGGATTCTGGATGGCGGTCGATTAAGTGCTTTATCGTCATGATGATAACCTCTGATTCGGTTTCACTTAAATTACTGGACCGGGGCGACTGTTCTTTTTCTTCATGTGCAGTAGTCGGTGCTGCTTCCTGTGGTTGAGTTAGAGTGTGACATGGTGTTGGTCTTTGCTCCCAATGTGCGATAAAATCATCCCACGTCATCCCGGTGGCAGATGGTCTTCGGGTGGCTTGCATGGTAGGTGGAAGGCTCCATGAGGGTTCCGGGTTGTATCTAGTTCTCTTTGCCTCCTCCTGACGGTAGAACATGGCTATTTTGCGTCTTTCTTCGATGGTTAGCAGTTTGTCGATGTGGGTTACCTCCATTTTGTGCAAGACCTTTCTGCTTTTTATTTTGGTCAATGGAATCTGTACGAACATCTTTCTGGTTCCTACATAGTGGGGGGGTATTTGTGTTACATAAGAATTTAAAAGTTTCTCACATGGATTCACAAGCAAGTTATTTTGGGCGACATATATATTGTTTTTTTTTTTTTTTTTTTTTTTTTTTTTTTTTTTTTTTTTTTTTTTTTTTTTGTTTAATTATTTGTTTGAGATACTCCGCTCACGGGTTTGTAGTATCTCTTGATGTTTTTGAAGTTGATGGTTCGATGACTTCCATTGATTTGGATAGTTACCGTGTTATTATTATGTACTGCTTGTATTTGGTATGGTCCGTGGTAGATCAGGAATAATTTATGGGTCTCCTTATCCTCAGCGGAGGATAACCTATGTTCTTTGATCAGGATCTGATCGCCCACGTTATACTGAGGGAATCGTTTATCTCTGTCTTTGTATGCGTTTCGCAGATCAGCTTGCTTTTTTGACCGTTTCATTACAATCTGTATAATGTCGGGGGGTTTCTTCAGGTCCTCGTGTTTAGGAAAAACTACCAATTTGCTTATTGATAACTTGGTTTTCTCCCCAAACATTATATAGGTTGGTGTATAACCAGTGGTTGTATGGGTAGTGTGGTTGATCCAGTATTCTACATTATCTAACCATTTTAACCAATTTGTATGTTGCTTATGACAGTAGGTTCTTAGTAGGCGGCCAATTTCCCGATTTGCCCTTTCTACTGGATTACTCTCCGGATGATAAATCGTTGTGTGCAGGTTGGTGATTTTCAATCCTTGCATGACTTTTTCCCATTTAGTACTGGTGAACTGCGTTCCGTTGTCGGTTAGGATCTTCTTGAACAAACCAATGGTGGGTATGTATTCACTCACTAGTCGTTTTATTATGGTGTCGGTAGTGGCTCTTTTTAACGGATATAGTTTGATATATTTGGAGAACACATCCAATATTGCCAAGATGTATCTACATCCTCCCTGTCCCCTGGGTAGCGGGCCCATTAGGTCGACAGATACCATTTCCCTTGGTTCGGTGGGTAGGAGGCTTAACGTTGGTCCCCTAGCCGTTATATTGCTTATTTTCGCCTTCTGGCACAGATCACATGTTTTGATTATTTGCTTAATCGTCCGATACATGTTTTTAAATTGGTGGTCCTGCTGCAACAGTTTATATGTCTTATACGTCCCGCAATGGCCATATATTTTGTGTGTTTCTTCCACCAGCTGTTTTACTGCTATCTCTGGCACCATGATCTGATAGTCACCCGAGGGCGCTTGACGAAATAGTAGGTTCTGATGTATCATGAGATTATGATTGGTCCTTTGCGTGACCCTTTGTTTAAGTTTCTGAATGTGTTCATCTTGCTGTTGTAACACCTCGAAGTCTTTGAATTGTTCTTTTAATTCCTTGCTGTATTCTAATAGCGATAATTTGTTGATAATGATTATCTTGTTGCTGGCTGTTGCGTCGTCGGTGTGTGACTGCGGATACCGTGTTAGTGTGTCGGCACCGACATTCTCTTTCCCTGGAATGTGTGTTATTTCTAACTGAAACTCCTGGAGAAATGTAGCCCATCTGACCAGTCGAGCATTGAGTAGTTGACACGTATTTAGGAATGTAAGTGCATGATGGTCGGTTAATATTTTGGTCTTATGTCCAAGTAAATAATTTCTAAATTTTTTACATGCGAAAACTATTGCAAGCAATTCAAGCTCCGTGGTGTTGTAGTTTTGCTCAGCTGCTTTTAATGTTCTACTGGCAAAACTGAGGGTTTGGTGTTGTCCTTCTTCCGTAATTTGATAGAGTTCAGCCCCAAGGTGAGTTGTGGAGGCATCGGTGTTCAGATGAAATTCTCTCTTGAAATCTGGGAATTGAATTATTATATCCTCGAGGAATTTTTGTTTTATGTTGTCAAAAGCTTGCTGCTGTATGGTTCCCCACATCCATTTTGCATCTTTTTTGGTTAATTTACTAAGTTGTCCGGTGTCTTGAGATAGATCCCTGATGAATTTTCTGTAAAAATTTATGAAACCAATGAATGCTTGTACCTGTTTTTTCGTCTTGGGCGGCTGGAAGTTCATCACGGCTTGTATTTTATCTGGGTCCATAGATATCCCTTTTTCACTTATTATGTGACCCAGAAAAATCACTTGTTTTTTCAAAAATTGTGACTTTTTTCTGTTGATTGTGATGTGGTGTTGTGCAAATTTTTCAAAGATTTGTTCTAAGTGACAAATATGTTCTTGAAAACTCGTGGAAGTGATGTGTATGTCATCGACATATATGGCGGCAAATTGTAGAATTTCCGGTCCTAATACTTGATCTAAGATTTTTTGGAACTCGGCAACTGAATTGATTAATCCAAAAGGTAATACCTTAAACTGGTAATTACGGCCTTTGTGCAAAAATGCTGTAATTTCCCGACATTCGGCTTTTAGTGGACACTGCCAATAACCTGCCGTCAAGTCAATCGAGCTTAGGTATTTCGTTCCCTGGAACTTGATGAGAGTGTCGTCCATATTTGTTGGACATTCTCGATCCGGTATTATGACTGTGTTAATTTTTCTGGCATCTAGGCATAATCGAATCTCTCCATTTTTCTTCTCAATACATA